AAGGAAATGTTAGCTTTCCCTGAGGAACTGCCTGTAGGTGCTCTAAGTGGAATGGAAAGTCCTTGTTGGGCATTTTCTTTGTTTTTGTTTTGTTTTTTTAGACAGAGTCTCTATTACTCAGGCTGGAGTTGGAGTGCAGTGGCATCATAACAGCTCACTGCAGTCTTGAACTCCAGGCTCACATGATCCTCTGGCCTCAGCAGGAGTTACTGGACCACAGGTGTGAACTACTGTATCTGGCCCTGGTTAGGCATTTTTGAAAAAAGATTCCTTTGGCAGCTGTAAAAAGGCAAGCGTGGAGCACAGAGGCTTGTGCAGGTCTCTTACAGTAAGACGTGGGGGTGAGAGACTGTGCAAGGCCCAGGCTCATCCAGCTGGGCGGATGGTGGAGCCATTGAATAAGCTGAGAAAGATGGAGGTGGCAGCATGGGGGATGAACCTAGATTGGTCTGGACCCAATCAGCTCTGGCAATGGATAGACTTGAGGCAGCTCTGAGGAATGAGAAGCAGCCAGGCTAGGGAGGCCAGGGCAGACACGGGGGTGGGGGTGGGGTGGGGGAGGGCGTGGGGTCCAGAAGAAATGTCTGATGGAGCTGCCTCCTCAGAGCCTGGGTGGAGAAGCACCATCCCAGTGCCTGAGGAGCTCCAGTACCTCTGGTGATCGTCCCCTGCTGGCCAGTCCTGGTTGGGTCCGTCACCTGCTCTTCTGCCAGTTCCTCTTGGCCAGTGCTTGGCCTGGCTGTGCCCTGTGCTCTCTTCCTCTGGAAATTGAAACTGCACGGCCACCCTGAGACGGACGAGGCATTCTGTCCATCTCCCCACCAAGCTGGGAGCATGTGCCCACTCCCTATGGGGCTGGCTCTCTCTCTCTCTTTTTTTTTTTAAGAGACAGAGTTTCACTTTGTTGCCCTCAGTAGAATGCCATGGCATCAGAGCTCACAGCAACCTCTAGCTCTTGGGCTTAGGCAATTAACAGTGAGCATGGGCTTAGGTGCCCTTAGCATGGGGGGGTTTTCCCAGGGTCCTGCACGCTGAGTCTGGTGCGGCTGACCCATGAAGCATAGGAGGAGCTGGGCTCTCTCACGATCTGTGGGTTGAGTCAT